CTCACCTGATTCTTTTAAGTAATGCTTGATAATTGAAGAAACTCCTCGAGGGGCCACAAAGTTAGAATCTCCATCTTTAATTACCATTCCTTCAATAGGAGACGTCAGAGGCTTCAAAATACCTTGAGCTAACAGTTCATCATAAAAACTGAAACGAATCAATAGATATGCAATGTAAGCAGACACATTCTTTAGTTCTGAAAAGATAATATTCGCTTTCAGGAAATTTTAAGGGTTATACTTTTAACTCCTACTAGGAACTTTCATATGATCAAATCAGTGTTTATGTTGTATTAAATAAAATTTAAAAATCAGGGGAAGAACAGATGTATTTTTGAAACTTATAGATCTTTTTATAGACATTAGCCAAAAATAATCTTCCCCCAAAATTTGGAAATTATGCACACCCATGTTTTTTGTGGCTTTGTTCGCAATAGCGAAGAGCTGGAAACAACCCAAGTGGCCATCAACAAATGAATGGACAGAGAAGCTCTAATATAGTCACACAATGGAATACTATGCAGCACTGAAAAACAAGAAATTAATGAATTATTATGCAAAGGGTATGATCCTGGAGGACATTATGCTGAGTAAAATATCTCAGTCACAAAAGGACAAATACTGCATAGGGCCACTGTTGTAAAATGGGACTGACATCGGGGTTGAGGGAAGGCAGAGAAGGAAGGGAGGAATGATGTATACTGCACTGAAACAGATGAGGGACAGAACTGTTTAAAAAGGGTATATAATTGGGTATTATTGTCATGACAGGAGTCCAGAATGAAGGCTAGTGGCCCTGGGGGGAGGGACTGCATAATAATAAAGAGAATTTATTTTACTTTTCAAGGAGAAGAGTGAATTGGGGACGGGGGCAAGGAGAAAATGTAACAATGAATAACTGGAAACCCTAAGTCTCTGTAAACTAATTAAAATTTATAAAAACATTAGAAATTAAAGTAAATGAAAATTAACAGAAATCTATGTTTCTGTAAATTTGACAATTTTCAATTTGGCTAAGAAGACTGTATTTTATTGTATATATTTGCCTCTTCCTCACGACAAGCATGTGTTCTATGTATTATGTTATCTAATCTTCACAATAGTCCAGTGAGGCAGGTATTACTGTTTCCAGTTTACTCAAGTTACTGCTAACATCATCAACAATGGTCATTACAACATAGTACAAATAACATATTACAACAGAGAATTTTAAACACCAAACTTGTAAGATAGATCCCACCCCTTTCCACTAACTTACCTTTGGTGTGCTTTGGCATAGTAAGGAGTGCAGGTGATGTACTGGGCACCCAAGTCAACTGTGCACTGTGGATCATGAGGACTGCAGGCTGTAGTCATTCTTCCCCCTTGAAGCAAACCACAGGAAAATGTCTTAGTGGGTTAAAATGAGCCTTTGCAGTCAATCCAATACACTGTTTTACTTCCAAATTTATTACAAACATATTGTTGTTATGTGCCATTGAGTCAACTATGACTCATCACGACACTATCCACAATAGCTCTGAACACTGCTCTATCCTGAGTCAATCTTACTCTCATGAAACACACTTTCATGACCCCAGTTATTGTGTCAGTCCATCTCATCAGAGGTCCTCCTCTTCTGTGCTGTTCTTCCACCCTTCTAAGCATGATGTCCTTCTTCAAAAACTGGTCTCTCCTGGCTAACTGCCCAAAGTATGCGAGACAAAAAAAAATCCTTGGCTCCAAGGAGCACCTTGGTTTTACCCTTGGTTTCACTAACAGCCCTGTTAGTTCTCTTGGCAGTCCACGGTATGTTGAAAGCTCTTCTCCAGCACCACAACTCAAAGGCTTGGTCATTGTCTAATGCATAGTAAGTAATTGTGAAGATCATGGCCTGGGTCAGGTGCACCTTAGTCTCTAGACTGACACCCTTGCTCATCAGCACTCTAATTGCACCTAATATTGTAATAGGGAGTGCTCGTGGCATAATCCATAGGAGTTATGCTGCTAACCCAAAAGTGGTGTCTGTCTAGTAGTTCAAATCCACCATCCACTCCACAGGAGAAAGACTTAGGGTAAGCTCCTCCAATGTACCTTTTTAAGAGTGCCTCTGAGTAGAAACCAATCCACAGCTGACTACCCAGCCAGTAAACTGCATGAGAGGGGACTGCCTATCTTTCTCCAGTGGAGCAGTTGGTGGATTAGAACCCTGTGCCTTTATGATTGCTGCGCAGTTTCTTACCATGAAGCCCCAAGAAAACCTGATATATTGTCACCTATGAGTCAACTCAGTAACAATGAGGTGAGTTCTTAGTTTGTCTTGCAGCTAGCAGCAGAAGCCACATGTACTCCACACAGCAAAACAGGGCTTTCCAAGTTCCTCTCCTAGGAACTGCACTGGACATTTATCATTTCATTTTACATGATTGAATAGTTGTTATACATTCCTGTTTTTACCATGTGTTAGTGTTAGACGTTATAATCTATTTGCTATGATGTAGTAGATTATTTTTTGAGTAAGAGAACATTCAACAATTCTTCCCAGATAAGTCAATGAGTAATTGCTTCTTTGCTTTAGACCATTTTGGCTTATGATTGTTTTCATAGAAACATTCTACATTCAGATGGGGATGATGGGCAGAAGGGAACTGTAGGATTCTGTAAACTAGATCTTCCAAAGCACTAACTAGGTTAATGGACGCTTTGGAATCCTTGTAGTCTGAAGAAAGGTACAAAGGCGCCCACAAGGCCAAGATAAATACCTGCTTTTTATTGTAGAACGTGTACGATGGTCCAAGGGGGGATGGGCAGAGGGGTGAGGACAGGAGGGGTGTGGGGGTAAACAGAGTCGCACAATGTGATGGGTGGAGGGCGGGGTGGGTAAAGAAAATGGGAAAGACCCGGTGTGAAAAACAATGTATATGAACTTGGTAAGTAAACCAGTATGAAATAAAAACTGTACTAAAAAGAAGCAAATGCCTGCTTATTAGAGAAAGTGGCAGCGCTACTCTTTGCAAACTCTGCCCAGGCTCCCTCAAGTCTCCCTCCAAAGTCTGCATCCCTGAACCAGAACGTTTCCCACACGCCGCCACAAACAGCGCGACCTTGAACCTCTCCGGGGACCAGCGAAACTTCCGGTCACGTGATGCTGAGAGCACCGCGCACGCGCAGCTACCTCATCATGAGCCCTCTGCATTTCCATCTCAGCATCTGCCCCAGACGCTTAGGAATTTAGGGCATCGTGCTGGCCTCATTTCCCCCAGTTTCGGCCATTAGACTGGACCCACCTGCGTCCCCAGCCTTGTCCCACACAGAGAGTTGCAAAGGACTGAACGCCTCCTTCCTGAGAAGCGCAGCGCACAAGCTGCCTGTCAGTCCGGCGCCCACAATTAGCACTCGCTCCATGGTCGGGGGTCTCTGCGCGCAGGCGGTGGGGCTGGAGCCCGTGATCTGAGCCGAACCTTAGCCGGTGCTGTCCGCCTCCGCGCGCCTGGCCTCTGCCTCGGAACCGTGCCCAGAGCCGCCTGCAGGGGGCAGCCAGGAGCTGGAGAGGCGGGCCTGCCTGAGATCCGGACCAAACTCCAATCCGGGCCCTAGTGGCTTAGAGCTTAGAGGGTTGTGCGCCTAGCACAGAAGGCGCATATACTTACTGGTTCGAGTCCACCAGAGGCTCTGAGGGAGAACGCTAAGCAGTCTCTTCCGTGTATGAATCAGCTCTGACTCAAGGCAGTGAGATGTTTGGTTTGGAGTTAGGGGTCTGCGGAGAAGTTAGGATTCCTCTTGGTTTGAGGAACACAGCTACTTTATAAAAGAAAGACAGCAATTAGTTAAGATGTGTGGTGATGTTGGAACCAACCCATTGCTGATTTTCCAGCGGGTTTTCACCCTGGAGGAGACTGCCCATTCTTTCCCCTTGGAGCAGTTGATGAATTCAAACTGCTTGCCTTTGCATCAGCAACGCAGTACGTTACCATTTAAGCTACCAGACACTGCTGCCTTCAATATGGAATGCATCTCAACTTCAAGAAAACAAAAATCCTTGCCACTGGATAGATAGGAAACGTCATGGTAGATAAAGATAGAAACTGTTAACGGCATTATCTTCCTTGGATCCACAATCAATACAGTTGATACCAGCAGTCAGGAAATAAAGAAACCTATTCTTGCACAGGGAAAGTATATATTACTTTGAGGACTAAGATGTGCCTGATTCACACCGTGCTTTTTTTCAATCACTTGCTATGCTGCTTAAAGCTGAACAATGAATAAAGAAGACAGAAGAAAAAGAATTATGCCTTTGAAATGTGGCCTTGGGGAAGAATATCCCATGGACTGCCAAAAAAAAAAAAAAAAAAAAATAAACAGATATGTCTTGGAGAAGGTGCAACTAGAGAGCTCCTTAGAGGCAGGCATGGAGAAGTTTCATCTCTCATGTTTTTGACATGTTGCTAGGAGAGGCTGTTCCTTGGAGGACATTATGCCTGGAAAAGTAGCGAGATGGGGAAGGAGAGGAAGATCCTTTACCAGGTAGATTGACACAGTGACTACAATAATAGGCTCAAGTGTGTCAGAGATCGTAAGGAAGGCATGGGATAGGGCAGGGTTCAGATCTGTCATTCATAGGATTGCTGTGAGTCATACTTGACTGATACCTAGCAAATACTATGGCACTAGATTATTTAGCCGAATCTGCTTGCCCCAGTTGTAGATCTTTTATGAATGGTAATTTGGGGCTTAGAATTTTAGCACAACTTGCGGGTTTTAAAAAATAATTCTAGCTCGGAAAACATGGAAATAGTTCAGGGCTCTAGAAACTCTGTTCTTTCTACCTTTTTGCTGTTGAGTCCGTTCCAAATCATAGCTAACCTTCAATTGGGTTTCCAGTATTGTAAATCACGAGGAAGGAGACTGCTCACATTTCTGTCCCAGAGCTGCTGGTGGACGCAAACTGCTTGGAAAGGACAACCTTGGGTTACCATCACAGTCTTTACAGATTAAGCCACCACAACGGAAACTCTCTTAGGAGATTCAAACAGTAACTCTAAACTTACAGACAGTGGTAACAAAGAAAGCTGAGGAAAAAAGGAAATCATAAGCCATCTTATTAGATATAGATATATTAAGTGGGAAAATAATGTAAAATATTTAATGTAATATTATTTTAAATTCATATGAGTTCCCAAATTACAATTTCTGGAGCCCAATTTTTTACCACAGCCTTCTCAATCCCACTACTACTACTGCTACTACTACTACAACAACAACACTGCAGATGCAAAGGACAGCATAAGAGTGGAAGACTTCGACTGAGATGGGTTGTTACAGTAACTGGGCAATGGGGGTAGCTGAGTCAGAGTTAGTGAGAATGGCTCAAGACAGGGAAGGCTTCAGAGCTGTTGTACACGGGATCACCGTGAGTTGCTGGCAACTCAATGGCACATAACAACAACAACAACAACAATATCTTATGTACTCATTCATGCTGTGGAAGTTTTATAAATTCATTGTTTTCCATTGCTGAATATATTCCATTGTGTAAATGTACCATAGTTTTTCTGTCTGCTCATTTGTTGATGAGTACTTGAGTTACTTCCATCTGCTCACTTTTGTGAATAAGGCTGCAATAAACATGGGCATGTGTACATTTGTTTATGTCATGGCTTTGGATTTTTTTTTTTTTTAGTATACATTACCAATAGTGGGATAGCTGTGTCAGATGGTATTTCTGTTTCAAATTTTTGAGAAAGCACCAGACTGCCTTCCATAGCAATTGTACCATTTTACATTCCCACCAGCAGTATATGAGAATCCTAATATTTCCACATCTTTGCCAGCATTTTTTGTTTTCTGGCCTGTTTAATTTTGCTATTGTTGCTGGGGTGAGATAATAGCTCATCACTGTTTTATTTGCATCTTTCTAAAAACTAGAGATTTTGAACATTTCTCCACGTATTTGTTGGACATCTGACTCTTTTTGGTGAAGTGTTTATTCATATCTTGTGCTCATTTTGTGATTGAGTTGTTTGCCTTTTTCTTGGAGACGGTGGAATTTTAAATATGAGTTCATTAGCCAATAGGTCATAGCCAAGTATTCTCACAGTCTGTGGACTTCTGTTTTACCTGTGAGGGGTTCTTTTTCGTACAATGACTCAATATATTCCTTCCATCTTCTTTTGAGGCTTCCTACCTCACTTACTATTCAGTCATTTAAACCTTCATTAATGAAACTTGACACTGGATCTTTTCTTTCATTCTTCAGCTTGAGAAATTCTGGGCATGTTCTTATCTTTTGGTTTTCTAATGCTACTTCTTTGCACATTTTATTATGATGCCCTGTATGTCATCCTATCCTATAACTGATCTTGTCTTTGATCATTAGTGATCAATATATCACTGAGTTCTTTGGTCATTTGTTATCAATATTTTTCTAAATTCTTGTCTCTCGTGGGACATATTCAAAGTCATATTTTGTCTTTCATCATTGTCAGTAATCATTAACTGTTGAATGTCTTTTTTTCACAGTAACTGTACAACAGAAAGCATATTTAATAACCAAAAGGTCTTAAGCAGTCTTTTCTAGAGAGTACTAAACTTTTGTTCCCCTTAGTTGCTCCAGTTCATGGCAATGAAAAGAACGGGGTAGGGGGGTGGAAGGTGGAGCTAGCATCTCTCTACAGACTAGTCAATGAAGAACAACTTGTGAACTCTGGTATGAGAAATCATTGGCATATCTCCTCTCCATGTGCCAATCACTCATTTTGCTTCTTTGCCACAAAATGTTTGGCAGGCATTCTTACATCTAGATACCAACTCCTCGTTCCAGATCCGCACCAAACACCCTACGTAAAGATACTGGTACTATTTTATTAACAAGAAGATGGATGGTTACTCTTGAAAAAGTTCCCTTCAGAAACTGAAAAATCCCCATGGCTTAGATAGCAATCAGCTCTTTTATTAGTAGTTATATTTCTTTGAACATATTTATGTAGTTTAGTAAAATTGTTTAGACCTCAAAAGCAAAGATCAACACCAAGCAAGAACCCCACTCTTTTATAGACAAAGAAGTTGTCAGAAACCAAAGAAACATTGTTTCATACTAACCAAAATTTCATTCTCATTGAGTGTCCTTTGTAGGTGTGAAGATTTCCGTCTATATCTGAGAGTATGCATTTAATCCAAGTGTGTAGTCAAGATGACTGTAGTATGGAATCGTCTTTTAGTAAATAAGGCTAGAAAGTTTGTAAGATGTTTTTGATCCACTAAATAGTTTTGTCCCCCACTCTATGCTGCAACTGGAACCTATGTGTCTTCCACATCGTATACTAGAGGAGTGGCTGAAGGAAAAACAAGGAATAGGAAGGAAAAATCACAGTAGGTAGGGATTAGGAAAAGGCTTCCTGGAAGAGGCAGGATTTGAGCTGGTCTATTATTAGGGAGCACTGGGGGGCTAATGACAAAAAGCTGCACCCTAATCTTGAAAGCACGTGGCTCAAATCCATAGCTGTTCCACGGGAGGAGGATTCGGAATCTTCTCCCTTGTGATTAACTTGCCAAAGGGTCAGCTATGGGTCAATTCTGACTTGAGGATACACAACACCACCACCATTTGTGTTAGCAGCATATCAAAGTTGATTATGAAGTTAATCATTCTTGTTGTTGTTGCTTGCCATCGAGTCGAGTGTGACTCATAGTGACCCAATGAACAAAAGGCCTGAAGCCTTTCTATAACTACCGTCATTTATCAAAGCTCATAGAGTTTCTAGAGGCATGCTGTTTAGGAAGTGAAATCACTATAATAACTACATGCTTATGACATCCATATGTTGTTGTTATGTGCCGTCAAGTCGCCTGTAACCCATAATGACCCTATGTACAGCAGCTAGCTCTGAACCATGCCCTGTCCTAAGCCAGTCTCATTAATTCCAACACACCAACCCCTATTGTCCAGTTATTGTGTCAATTCATCTTATCTGGGGTCTTCCTCTCCTGTGCTGTCCATCCACCCTCCTAAGCATGATGTCCTCTCCAAGGACCTGTCTCTCCTGGCCATGTGGTCAAAGTATGTGAGATAGACCTTCGAAATCTTAGCCTCCAAGAAGAAACTTGGTTTCACCCTCTCCGAGACAGACCTATTTGTTTTCTTGGAGGTTGATGGTATGTTCAAGACTTTTCTCCAGCACCACAATTCAAAAGCATCGATTATTCTTCTGTCATCCTTAGCCATTGTTCAGCTCTCAGAAGAGAAACAAGTAATGGCAAAGACAATGGCCTGGATTAGGCACACCTTAGTCTCTAGACTAACATCGTTGCTCTTCGGCACTCTGGAGAGGTCCATGACAGCAGATTTTTCCCAATGCAATTAGTCTTTTGATTTCCTGACTGCTGGTGTTAAGAGTGTTGATTGT